AAAATTCTTAATTCCAAGAATTATGAAAAACTTTTGGAACGTTCCAATTTATAAACAGAATGATTCAACATTACTCCATCATCCCGTGGCATCTACTTCTTTGTTAAAAGATCAGCTATCGAATTGTCAGGCTTTTGAAGTTTACTTTTTGTTTTTGCTACTCCCTCCTCCCCCCACCCCACCATGTCAATATTTTATTTGGAAATTTTTCAATGGCACCTAGTGACAACACGGCTATCTTCATGAATTTCAATGAACACTGCCTACCATTCTGAGACGCCAAGGGCGAGGGAGATCAGATCGTTTCATACAATTACTTGAATCTGGTGAATTGCTTTAAGTACTGTATTTCTTCATACATTGTGCTGCTTTTTCCTACCATCTTTTCTTTACTTACTCTGCCTTTACATGGCTCTTTCCAGGACTTTAAAGATAATTTTCAGCAGGCTTCCAAGGCCTCAAGAAACATTTGGCTTGAGCTTTTTCTCTGCACACCCAAGCCTTTTATAGCTTGCCTCCATCGACATCGTGTACTTTCTACCTGTTTCCCTTCCCCTGCGGGCAGTCCTTACCTCCTGGAGGATACAGATACTCCACATCTTGGGCTCTGCCGGGCCTGTTTCAGTCTCTCTACTCACTTGACATTTTTGTGTGCTTTTTCTTAGGTAGTGGAATTGTTATCTTAATAAGTCTGGTTCTATCATTTATATTTCTTTCGAGGGTTTCTGTGTGTGTATGTCATCCTGTAAGCACTGAATAGTCTTTTATTATTTTAGTAGACTTTTCATTTTCATACAACTTTGTGCATCATACTATTAAGATACTAAGAATATTTTTGATCACAAGGTATTCAAATGGAAACCACAGACATCTTTCTATAACTCTTGTTGAATTACCGAATTGGCTGTAGTTGATTAGCGTTCCTTCTACCAAGTTTTCTTTCTACCATGTCATAGTGAGTCAGAAGCATCAACAGTTTCTCACATGCATAATGATTGGGCCAATCCATCTTTTCAAGGGTAAATCTCTGTTAAGGATAAGGAAAACAAAATTAAGATCTTATTACCCTTAAAGACAAATGGTACTGTTAGATATACTTTTTTCCCTGAACAATTAGTACTATAAATGAGGATATTACCAGAAAAAAACACCAAGTCTCCTAAAGAAGGAATGTCATGTAATTAATGGAGTCATGAAATTGCAGGTAATGTGCTCAATAGCAAATTTTAAGTGTCTCATACATATTGACTATATTGGCATTATTATTAGCAAAAAACAACAAGGAGTTAAATTTTATTACGTTATTTTGTATCCCAAGTTACTCCAGTAAAAGTTTATACACATAGTCTCATTCAATTTTCATGGTGATCTCATGAGGGAAGACATTATTTCTACCTTTAGGATAATACACATCTAGATTGTAAGGGTGAAAGATGTGGCAGTCTGTTTCCATAACGATTTACAGCTTTGAAAATTCTCTCAGGCTGCTCTATTCTGTCCTATATGGTCACTATGAATTGGAATTGACTTGATTGGAATGGATTTTAGTTTTTGGAAGTAAAGACTGTCCAAGTTTAAATTTAGACCACTGATTACAAATTCTAATACCCTTGTTAGCTACATCATCTTCCACTATGATATACTTCATCTTCGGCATTCTCTGATTAAAGCCTCCCTTCCCTTGTGGTGAAGTGAAATTGCCTAAATATGGCTCATCTATCCATTTGTTTGTAACTACCACTGTGTGATTGGGTGGAATCATGCAAATAAGGTCCACAGGACTCTAATTCAAGGATTGGTCAGTTTCACCATTTGTGTATAACAGATGTACCTTAGAAGCAGTAACAGAGGGAGTCCGGGGACCATAAAAAAATAACAGCCACCAGTGGAACGTGGGCAAGATCCCTGTCTGAAGTGGGGGAGGCATCAGAGGCTGCAGTGCTGAGACCCGAGACCATGAGACTGTGAGGCATAGCACCAGGAGGGCTTCCCGGCCCGCAGAACAAGACAGAGGCTAAGAAATCATATAGTGGAGAGGTGAGAACCATAAAGTCATGTGGCTGATAGCTAACGAGCGCTAATGTGGAACAAAGACTGTATCCTTACTGTTTTCTGATCCCACTTGTGGTAGGTAACTTGTTAACATTCCTAATAAACACCCATCATCTCAAGCATTGTCTGTGAGTTTTGTGTACCCAATGTAATGGGTGATCAAACCCAGCAGAAAAGCAGAGTGCTGTGAGAGGAATAGCTGGTGTCAACATTGAGCAAAAAAAAAAAAAAATCTGACCTTAGCCTTGGTTGGACCCGTATGGAGATGGATTCTCCTCCCTTGTGACGCCAGAGGTGGGCAGATGTGGCCCCCGTGTCATCCTCACTATTTCTCATCCCCACACATCCTTGGTTACAATACATCAATACATGGTAGATAGGGTGGCTTCCTCTTAGATTAATGAAAATGCTATCTCTCCCAATCTTTCCAATATCTAACTTTAAACTGTAAAGTAAAAAAAATTTTTTCAAATACCTGAAATAATAGTAAATCAGGTCTCTGGGACCTGATAACCTTCTGCAATTTATCCTTATTTGAAAGAAATTCTTGGATGACCTATCAAGGAAAAAGAAAATAAGGACTGAGACTATAAACTTTTTTTAAAAGTTTCTGAAATAAATGCACAGTGAAATAACTGGTTATTACCTCAGGGAATGGGAATCCCTCACAACTGCAAGCTTTTCTGAAAATAAATTACACATCTGTCATCAACAGCATCAGGCAATTTAAGACAGAATCTAAAACCATCTCGCCTCACCTCCTCCCATTTAAGGAAGAATGTCCTGCACAGTATCTCAAATAGTCCTCATTCTTTTCTTCTACAATAGTTCAATTTTTGAAGAGAATTAGAGAAGAATTTTGCAAAATATTTTACTAAACTACAATTGGAAAATCTATGTAGAAACAATTCAATCACAGGTGTATAAAATGGGTCACGTTAGCATAAAATGGGTCTTAAAGAACTTACTTCTTAATACTGTTTTCTAAGTCACTGAGTTGTCTCTCACGTTCACCAAGGTGCCACTCACACGGACAGCGGTAATCATAATCATGCGGCTCACAGTAGCGATCACTTTGACACCATCTGCACCCATTGCGTTCATGATCCTTAGGTGAGCCTTAATGGAGACACAAAGAACTACAGTTCCTAACACATTTTAGAATTATCTTTTACATATATTTTTGAGTCTTAACTACATTTAAAACAAAACACACTCACAAAAACTTCCTAACACACTGCCTAATATATAGAAGGCTTTTAAGACATTTTGGTTGAACAGAGAAATGAACAACATGGTAATTCAGGGTAAAGTTGATCTTGAGCTATTACTATTGTGTGGAAAGAATTTTTTTCTTCTGGTGAATTACTTTTTTGTCTGAAGGTGTTCATTTGAAACTGAAATGATATATTTATAATAATCAACAATTAGAAATAAATGTGGCTTATGTAGAAGTTACATGCAAAAATATATGCATTAGTATAAAAGATTCTTTATGTATAGTAGTTCATAAAATCATTTCTCTAAAACCAGCCCTAACTAGCTTTGCAGCATTTAGCTTCCAGTTGCCTGTGTAGTTATTTTTGAATTACACTTGGAACATGAGCAAATTATGAGTAAACGCAGGTGTATGGCACTACTTTCCCTTTAAAGGAAAGCACTAATTTCAACATTGTTTTGAGAATGAATTGTTCATACTTGCTATAACATGAAATTGACATTTACAAGCCATCAAAAAATGATAGGATAACATGTGATAAATGTAAACATGTCTTCTTCCACGATGTCACCAATCATCTAACAATGTGAATGAAAACATATTCAGATATACAGTAGAATTTCTTTTATGAGATGATCTAACATGATCTCCTAATTTCTTCTATGAGAAAAGGTCTTTTGTCCCCCAAACTAGTGAATAGAGCCCAAGCTATTTTTTAATAATGTAGAAATTAGTATAAAGCCCCTATTTTCATACACGGTGTAGGGCAACTCTTCTTTATATGATTGAACTATTGAAATGTATGATATTTGGATTATGTCTCAATAAAACTGTGTATAAGAGAAATCACTAATAACACAAATCTTTAATGTAAAAACAGTTTCAGTTTCCTTTGAATAACTGATCGGTCTCTAATATCTTTTGCTCTAAAATTTTTTTTCTATATGAAAAACATCAGTTTTAAGGTCTGATTAATTTCCTATCCAACTTGAAACTGTGCTTATCCTGTTTCCTATGATTTACATCACAAGATCTCATTCTATAAACATTTACTGTGTTCCTACTGTGACACTGTGTGAGATTTATATGACTCAATGCCTAACACAACCCCTAGATTGTAAGGAATTTTCAGTCTACTGGGGAAGATGTAAACGGCTTCCAAATGCTATTAATAGTGACATATCAAAGTATGAGGAGAACAGGATAGAAAATGTGGTTATCAGGAATTAATAATCTGAAGATATTATTCTCTGCACCTGCTTACCTGGATGGGAACACACAGAGCAGTGAGCCAGTTTTTTAACAACTTGTGCTTGTGGATCAGAGTAGAAAGATTTTTCATTCCACTGATTAAATCTTTAGTAGAAATGGTTTTATGAAGAAACAAAAGCAAAA